CCCTCCAGCTGGGGGATCCCGGAGCCACAACAGGAAACAGGCGTCCCTGGTTCTCCACGTCCCCCGTGGAGAGAGGGCAAGGGCGCGGGGAGGAACAAAAACAGCAGCACAAGACTCAGTAAAGAGGGACAGGAGTCTATAAGCCCAACTGCTTGTATTATAAAAAGAACAATAAACATTCACTTAAAATTGTTAACTTCAGCTGGAGAGGCAGGGATACCAGCTAGATTTAGTCGAATGTACTTTGCTTTGTAGACCGGATTTTGAAATTGTATAGATATTTTACCTAATTATGAAATAAATAAGGAATCCTCAACACGGAAAGTGAAGCTGGGCGACCAATGGGTGACACCACCCCAACCACGTGACGGGGTGTCCGAGGGCGTTCAGAGGGATATGGATAAAAGACCAGAAAAAGAAAAAAGTAATCGATTTTCAGCAACTGAATTGTGAACTTTAATGTGCTGTTCAGCTGAGCTACTGAGTAAATCTTGAGAAAAGGCATATGAGTAGTGTCAGCATTGTTGAAAACCCAGATTTTCAGTAGGGGAGTGGGAGAGAGACACGAGGTCAAAGAGGTTAAGGAGACTCTGTAATCCTGAATCTGAATTACAAGTATCAGTATGAACTCCTGGTGTGTTTTATTTAAAACACATGTTTTCTTACTGTACAAGAACCATACCACAATAAAGTTGTTATAAAAAAAAACATGTACAGCCTAGAAATAAACTCACAAACTTTTGGTCAACTAATCTTTGACAAAGGAGGCAAGAATATACAATGGAGTAAAGACAGTCTCTTCAGCAAATGATGTTGGGTTAATTGGACAGCTGCATGTAAATCAATGAAGTTAGCATACTCCCTCACTCCATACACAAAACTAAACTCAGAATGGCTTAGAGACTTAAACATCAGACAAGATACCATGAACCTCTTAGAAGAAAACATAGGCAAAACACTATCTGACATAAATCTTAGCAATGTTCTTCTAGGGCAATCTACCCAGGCAATAGAAATAAAAGCAAAAATAAACAAATGGGACCTAATTAAACTTATAAGATTTTGCAGAGCAAAGGAAACTATAAGCAAAACAAAAAGACAACCTACAGAATGAAAGAAAATATTTGCAAAAGACGAGACTGACAAGGGCTTAATTTCCAGAATATATAAATAGCGCATACAACTTAATAAGAAAAAAACAAACCCAGTCCAAAAATGGGCAGAATACCTAAACAAGCAATTCTCCAATGAAGACATACAAATGGCCAATAGGCACATGAAAAAATGCTCAATATCGCTCGCTATCAGAGAAATGCAAATCAAAAGTACAATGGGGTATCACTTCACATCAGTCAGAATGGGCATCATTAAAAAGCCCACGAATGATAAATGCTGGAGAGGGTGTGGAGAAAAGAGAACCCTCCTACACTGTTAGTGGGAATGTAGTTTGGTGCAGCCATTATGGAAAACAGTATGGAGATTCCTCAAAAGACTAAAAATAGACTTACCATATGATCCAGTAATCCCACTCCTGGGCATATATCTAGAGGGAACCTTAGTTTAAAAAGATATATGCACCCCAATGTTCATAGCAGCACTATATACAATAGCCAAGACATGGAAACAACCTAAATGTCCATCGACAGATGACTGGATAAAGAAAATGTGTTACATATATATACAGTGGAATACTACTCAGCCATAAAAATAATTGCCATTTGCAGCAACATGGATGGACCTGGAGATTGTCATTCTAAGTGAAGTAAGCCAGAAAGAGAAAGAAAAATACCATATGATAACACTTATATGTGAAATCTAAAGAAAAAAGACAAACTTATTTACAAAACAGAGACAGACTCACAGACATAGAAAACAAATTTATGGTTACCAGTGGGGAAGAGGGTGGGAAGGGATAAATTGGGAGTTTGAGATTTGCAGATACTAACTAATATTTACAAAATAGATAAACAATAAATTCATATTGTATAGCACAGGGAACTATATTCAAAATCTTGTAGTAACCTATGGTGAAAAAGAATATGCAAATGAATACACATATGTTCATGTATGACTGAAGCATTTTGCTGTACACCAGAAACTTGATACAACATTGTAAACTGACTATACTTCAATTAAAACAACAACAACAATGTATTTCTTGATTCTGTCCACTCAAAGGCCTGAAACCATGACTAGCCTCAGCATAATGAACAGGTCTGGTGTGCAGGTCAAGACTTTTGAACCCCATCCCTGACGCAGGACCAAGTTTGCCACGGAAATGGCTGACTCCAGGTCTGGGGCAGGATAGCCCTTTAGAAAGCAAGGAAGCACAGGGATTTCGGGGACACGTCACAGGACTCAGAAACAACCAGCCTGATATGGGGACTTCTGGACATCCTGTAGTAACAACTGAAAGGGATTCAAACCCATCAAATATGGTGAAAATGTGAGTTTATGATAGTATTAAAAACATCCCAACTTCACCGACCACCCTGGGCAGATGCTAGGGTCCAACTCCTTATTTTGTAAAGTGGTAATTAAAGAAGAAATCAATCCTTGATTCTGCCTTTCCTATATGATGGTACCACTGGGCTAGCAAAGAGGGGAGGCAGCCTAAACAAACAGGCGGTGATGGGTTAAAACATCCCAAACCTTAATGAGATCATGAATCCAGGCAAGACTGCCAAGGCTGATTTCCTGAGCAGAGAACACACCAAGCACCGCCTCAGAAGTAAATATTCTTGACAAAACCAAACAACAACAAAACTGAGGACAAATCTGATCAAAGAACAAGGTGCCTCTAGAAGATGCAAAAAGCAGGGAATGGATTCTCTCCCCTAGAGCCTCCAGAAGGAACCATCCCTGCTGTCACCCTGGTCTTACCTCCATGAGACCCCTGTTAGCCTTCTGACCACAACCATGAGAGAAGAAATTTGTGTTGCTTGAAGCTACCAGGTCTGCTGTGTTGCTTACAGCAATAGCAGGAAACTAACTCAGGGTCAGGTGGGCAAGGCTGGACCCTGACTGGCTACTAGAAGGTTGAGTAAATACTGTTTGTGTTTCAGGTGTGATGCTGGCCTCTGTGGCCACGCTGAAGAGAAGAGGTGGTCCAGGAGGTCCGTGGAGGGACCTCTTGCGATGGCATTAATGTCCCCAGGAGGGGCCATGGGCAGGATGGACCATGAGTCTGGACAGGCCCTGAGTTGACCGTTTTTGAAGGCAGCCCGTAGGTACGTGGGGATTCGTGTTATACTACCTGTGTTCATGTCTGAACTTTTCCACAAGAACACTTTTTACAATCATAGCTGGACAAGCCCTTTACCCCTTCAGAGCCTGAGGGGCATGAGTGCCACCTGACCCCAGCTCGAGGGGGTGATGGGGACCCAACCTTCTTCATCAGCATATAGATGTGCAGCTGGGCGTCGTCCAGCACGTGGCGGTGGGGCCGACCCAGACCCTCCAGAGTTCGCTCCATCGTCCGGCTGTCAATGTTGACCCAGCGGGCAGCGCCAGGGGCCAGGAACTGCCTGGCTTGGGGAAGGGGACCCTGGGTGGGTCTATGCTCTTCAGGCCTGCCCCCCACCCCGCCTGCCAGCTGGCACCCAGCCCTCAGCACTCACTGGTACACGGCGTCTACCAGGGCGGGGACCTGGGCCTGCCCTCCGTGGCGCAGCTCCTCACAGGCCTCCCAGAAGCTGAGGTTCTCGGCTAGGGATCCGGGCATCAGATCAGGCACACCCAGGGCTGGTGGAAACTCAGGAGGGGTGCCCAGGCAGCAGCCTCTTTGATGGGGGCCAGGAGCGGGGGAGGGGGGCTTCTCACCACTGAACTCTGTCTGGAG